CCATCTGCTCTATGTACTCTACAACAACAACAACAACAACACGTTAACACCACACACCATCTGCTCTATGTACTCTACAACAACATGTTAACACCATACACCATCTGCTCTATGTACTCTACAACAACATGTTAACAACACACACCATCTGCTCTATGTACTCTACAACAACATGTTAACACCACACACCATCTGCTCTATGTACTCTACAACAACATGTTAACACCACTCACCATCTGCTCTATGTACTCTACAACTACAACATGTTAACACCATACACCATCTGCTCTATGTACTCTACAACAACAACATGTTAACACCACTCACCATCTGCTCTATGTACTCTACAACAACAACAACATGTTAACACCACACACCATCTGCTCTATGTACTCTACAACAACATGTTAACACCATACACCATCTGCTCTATGTACTCTACAACAACATGTTAACAACACACACCATCTGCTCTATGTACTCTACAACAACAACAACATGTTAACAACACACACCATCTGCTCTATGTACTCTACAACAACAACAGCATGTTAACACCATACACCATCTGCTCTATGTACTCTACAACAACAACAACATGTTAACACCACACACCATCTGCTCTATGTACTCTACAACAACATGTTAACACCATACACCATCTGCTCTATGTACTCTACAACAACATGTTAAACAACACACACCATCTGCTCTATGTACTCTACAACAACAACAACATGTTAACACCACACACCATCTGCTCTATGTACTCTACAACAACAACAACAACAACACGTTAACACCACACACCATCTGCTCTATGTACTCTACAACAACATGTTAACACCATACACCATCTGCTCTATGTACTCTACAACAACATGTTAACAACACACACCATCTGCTCTATGTACTCTACAACAACAACAACAACAACATGTTAACACCACACACCATCTGCTCTATGTACTCTACAACAACAACATGTTAACACCACACACCATCTGCTCTATGTACTCTACAACAACAACAACAACATGTTAACACCACACACCATCTGCTCTATGTACTCTACAACAACAACAACATGTTAACACCATACACCATCTGCTCTATGTACTCTACAACAACAACAACATGTTAACACCACACACCATCTGCTCTATGTACTCTACAACAACAACATGTTAACACCACACACCATCTGCTCTATGTACTCTACAACAACAACATGTTAACAACACACACACATCGTTTCTCACACACCAAAAAACCATCTCTCTCAACACATTTACACACACATCGTTTCTCACACACCAACAAACCATCTCTCTCAACACATTTACACACACACACATCGTTTCTCACACTCCAACAACACACCATTTCTCTCTCAACACATGAACGCACAGATACACGCACACAGTTTATCAAACTTTTTCACACACCATTTCTCTCAACACATACAGACAACTGGAAACATTTTATCAAATGTTCTCACAAACTCTTTCCCCAACTACTCACTTTGTATAAGGTCGAGGGCCTCGTCTTTGGAGCGTGTGATGTTCTCCTCCCTCCAGGAGGACGGGCGACGTGATTGACTATGCTTCACCAGGAGGTGGGAACAACGCACCTTGTCTGGCTCGCCACTCCCATCACCTACAATCCAATACAACTTTACTGTCCACTCCCATGACATTTTTACATTTTAGTCATTTAGCAGACGCTCTTATCCAGAGCGACTTACAGTTAGTGAGTGCATACATTTTCATACTGGCCCCCCGTGGGAAACAAACCCACAACCCTGGCGTTGCAAGCGCCCTGCTCTACCAACTGAGCTACAGGAGTCCTACAATATAACTTTATTGTCCACTCCCACCACCTACAATATAACTTTATTGTCCACTCCCACCACCTACAATATAACTTTATTATCCACTCCCACCACCTACAATATAACTTTATTGTCCACTCCCACCACCTAGAGCACGGCGCTTGTAACGCCAGGGTAGTGGGTTCGATCCCCGGGACCACCCATACACAAAAATGTATGCACGCATGACTGTAAGTCGCTTTGGATAAAAGCGTCTGCTAAATGGCATATTATTATTAAAACACCTTTATTGTCCACTTCCCTCACCGACAATACAACTTCATTGTCCATATGATACTACAGCGAACAACAGAGTCTTCTTCTCAACCCCCCCAGACAGCACACATCACACACAGTAGAGAGGAGCACAGGGTCCAGCCGCAGCGCCGCGCCCCTGGATGGAGAGCACGCTGCTGGGTAAAGGGCCTTGCTCAAGGGCCAGCAGTCCTCCAGTTGTCAGATCAATCCCCCAGACCAATTTCACAGAGCCCCACCAGGTATTCTAACCACGACCTTTCAGCTACAGGTCCATCCCCTTAGCTGCTGGGCGACCTACCTGACCCCACCGGACGCTCCCATTGGCTGGCATTGGTGATGTGGTTAAAGTAGTATACTCTACCTGGGAAAGGTGGGAGGAGGGAGAAAAAGAGGGAGGGGGGGGGGGAGAAGCGAAAGAGAGAGGAAATAGGGGAAGAGAGAGGAGGGTGAAGAGAAAGGAGGAGAAGAGAGGAGAGGAGAGAGAGGAAGAAAGGAAGAGAGGAAGGGAAGACAGAGGAGGGGAAGACAGAGGAGGGGAAGACAGAGGAGGGGGAGACAGAGGAGGGGGGGAGAGGGGAAGAGAGGGGAGGAGGGGAAGAGAGGAGAAGAGAGGGGAAGAGAGGAGAAGAGAGAGGGGAAGAGAGGAGAAGAGAGAGGGGAAGAGAGGAGATAGGTGAGGTGTTGTTTGGGGGATGAGAAAGACTAAGAGAATGAGGGAGGCGATGCTGAAACACAATTCTACTGAAGCTTCCTTTCCTTCATGTGCACTAATTTACATTTAAGTCATTTAGCAGACGCTCTTATCCAGAGCAACTTACAAATTGGTGCATTCAATTTAGGATAGCCAGTGGGACAACCACACTTTTTTTGTTTTTATGGGGGGGTGGGGGAGTAGAAGGATTACTGTTATACTATTCCAGGTATTCCTTAAAGAGGTAGGGTTTCAAATGTCTCCGGAAGGTGGTCTAATCTATGCAGACGAAAGCATTTTGCTTTAGTCATGGAATGGACAGAACTAATCTCAGTTAGTCGTCTTCAGCAACTTTTAATGATATTGTGCAGAAGGCGTTGAGAAAATACTTTTTTTCAACAACTTTTGCTCACTGGGCAGGCACCTGCCATCCTAACACTGGCGTTGGAATGGCTCCAAGGCGCGGGACAAAATGACGTCATTGTTATGGGCCTACCTCGCGAGCTGGCGTGAAATGAATGGACATTCATGAATAAACTGGCTAACTCAAAATGACGACACCCCATACAATAGTATATCTTCCAATACATATATACCTAAGAATTGTTTGATTATGAAAGAAGTTACTGTCCAATGCATAGTACGTTGAACAGCCGTCAAAACATGCATGCGCCGCTGCTAGTTTAGCTAGCTAACTTGCTGGGTTAGTCATGACATGAGCGTCATTACTGGCTAACGTTAGCCAACTAAACACCAGATGATAGTTTGACACACGCACTAGTCAAACGAATAACCATCAAACATAATTCACAAATGCACAAATAAACATGCGTCACCACCTAACGATGCAACAAGCTTACAACCAACCTAACTAGCTAAGAAACTTAGCTGCGCTGCTAACGCTAGCATTTGCATTAGTTCAGCCGGTATAATGTTTTGTGCACCAGCGACAAATTGTTCGGGACTGGGATGAAAGCTAGTCATCTCTCTCCACCTACTTGAACTGCGGCTCATCCGCTTCTCCCATCCGGACGGCAGCTTCTCGTCCTCGGCGTCTGCCATTGTCCCTGCTTGCTTTCAAAACGGTACAAGTCACTCCTCTTTTCCTCTCGCGGCTCGCAGGAAACGGCTGTTGTTGTTGCACCTTCCATCCGCCAGGTGTCAGCAAAGAGACATGTTTAGAATGTTCTTCACTTTTCTGGAACATTTTGCTTTTTGTTGTTGTTGTTGCATTAGACGCATTTCTCATGATAAAGTACATTGGCTTAACCGAATGGTATGTTGATGTCATATTCGGTGGTTTATTCCACTGATCTACGGTAAAATGCCCTTAGATACTGATGTGACCGTATATGTTATTTCATTGCAACTACTCACAGCACTTCTGGTCAATTTACGGCATAAGTTCATATCGCAGTACCCGCCTTCTCTTGACATGTTACCTTATGAGAGGCCTTGAAGTAGAAACGTCAATCATCAGTTTAGACGTTTCATTGGTGCGTCTTCTCGTTGTACACAAAGCGGAACGCTTTACGACTACGCAGGCTGAAGCGATTCTCGTTTTAGCGAACAACTAGCGACCAATAAGGTAATATCTTTACTTATACGATATTTTATCAATGGTATAGACCAAAATAAACATGTATAATGAAACTTCAATATCTAAGACTTAATGCTTTATTTTTTGTTCGAAATCTTCGGTGGTTGTTGATGAAGCGCTAGCTAGTTCTGCTAACATTAGCCAGCTCCAGATTCGACAACATAACGTTTATTTTGCTAGCTATTATCTTACTGTTAGCTATTAAACAACATTACATTATTGGAGTTGGAATGACAAGCAACTGGAACAACCTCCTTGTATTGTAACCAACTAACGTTAGCTAGCTAGCTAAACTGTGTTGTATGTTCACGGGACACGCTCTTTTCACGCCACTTCGATACGAAGTGATTTTCGTAGCAGGTTAAGAGACCATTTTCGCTAACCCATCATAACCTTAACCCCAGTCTCCTTAACTGCTACGTTAATTATCCTAACCCGCTTTAAGTTCTCCTAACCTGCTACGAAAAAGTAACTTACGTATCGAAGTGGCGTGAAAATAGTGTTTATCGTATGCTCACCGTGTCACACAGTATCTCAAGCAACTCTTCCCGTCTCTCTCTCTGCAGAACAGGATCAGGATGATTGAGGTGGTTTGCAATGACCGGCTGGGCAAGAAGGTCCGGGTGAAGTGCAAGTATCCTTTTACCAAGCTGACCAACATGCAAGTTCAATAGCTAGTCTTACAGCACAGACTAGCCTACCCCATTCATAGACGCATACAGCTTTATCGCCTATTGGCGATAGTAACGTACACTATATATACAAATGTACACTACCGTTCAAAAGTTTGGGGTCACTTCGAAATTTCATTGTTTTCGAAAGAAGCAGTGTAGACATTGTTAATTTTGGAAATGGCTATTGTAGCTGGAAACTGCAGATTTTTAATGGAATATCTACATACGCATACAGTGGCCCATTATCAGCAACTATCAGTCCTGTGTTCCAATGGCACGATTGTTGGTATCCAGTGATATTTTGCTCTCGCTCATTGGTACATAGCAAAACACACACCCTAGTCTCGAGCCAGCAGGTGGTATATCTCACTGGTATACCCCAAAGCCAACACCTCCTTTGGGCCGCATCTCTTCCAGTTCTCTGTGCCATGCGGGCAATTATGTTAGCACAGCTGAAAACTGTTGTGCTGATTAAAGAAGCAATAAAACTGGCCTTCTTGAGACTAGTTGAGTATCTGGAGCATCAGCAATTGTGGGTTTGATTACAGGCTCAAAATGGCCAGAAACAAATAACTTTCTTCTGAAACTCGTCAGTCTATTCTTGTTCTGAGAAATGAAGGCTATTCCAATGCGAGAAATTGCCAAGAAACTTAAGATCTCGTACAACGCTGTGTACTACTCCCTTCACAGAACAGCGCAAACTGGCTCAAACCAGAATAGAAAGAGGAGTGGGAGGCCCACAACTGAGCAAGAGGACAAATACATTAGTGTCTAGTTTGAGAAACAGGCGCGTCACAGGTCCTCAACTAGCAGCTTCATTAAATAGTACCCGCAAAACACCAGTCTCAACGTCAACAGTGAAGAGGCGACTCCGGGATGCTGACCTTCTAGGCAGAGTTGCAAAGAAAAAGCCATATCTCAGACTGCCCATCTTAATATTTTCTTTTTATTGGCCAGTCTGAGATATGGCTTTTTCTTTGCAACTCTGCCTAGAAAGTCAGCATCCTTCTAGATGCTGAACCTTCAGAGGGTTCTGGTTAGGGTTATATAGGTGTCTAGATGCTGAACCTTCAGAGGGTTCTGGTTAGGGTTATATAGGTGTCTGTAGATGCTGAACCTTCAGGGGGTTCTGGTTAGGGTTATATAGGTGTCTAGATGCTGAACCTTCAGAGGGTTCTGGTTAGGGTTATATAGGTGTCTGTAGATGCTGGTATAGAAACACTGTACCAACATGTCTTTATATCAGTCGTCAGTGTACAGCCTTAACCCTCTCCTTTGCAGCTCAGAAGACACTATAGGAGACCTGAAGAAGCTCATCGCTGCCCAGACCGGCACCCGGTGGGACAAGATCGTACTCAAGAAATGGTGAGAAAGAAATGAACAGTCCCTAGCCTATGGACGTGATAGTTGTGGCACATTGGAACCAGTGACGAGTCACTTCCCTTCTCTTTCTCCTGTATTATTCAGACTGTTCTCTGTGTAGACTGCATTTGTATCCAGGGTAAAGTTTAGAATATTAAGATAGTTCTGCACAATACATTTCAATCAATCAAATGTATTTATAAAGCCCTTTTTACATCAGCAGATGTCACAAAGTGCTATACAGAAACCCAGCCTAAAACCCCAAACAGCAAGCAATGCAGATGTAGAAGCACGGTGGCTAAGAAAAACTCCATAGAAAGGCAGGAACCTAAGAAGAAACCTAGAGAGGAACCAGGCTCTGAGGGGTGGCCAGTCCTCTTCTGGCTGTGCTGGGTAGAGATTTAAGAGTACATGGCCATTAAGGAATACATAGAATAAGGAATTGTGCTCTATTCATGACATTCTATCTGCAACGTTCAGGAAGGACCCTGGTCTAAGCAGTGTTCTTATTCTGTGACTTACTTCCTGTTTTCTCCTTTCAGGTACACCATATTCAAGGACCATGTGTCTCTGGGAGACTGTATCCTTTTTGAGCCCTCAGAAATACAGTTTCACTGTTTAACCACAAGATGGCGTTTATTGTCCCGAGTCTTGTCCTGGAGACAGAAGTGAGAGATTTCCGCTTAGATAGACCAGCTGCAAAGTTCATGAAAACAAAAATTAGCTTTTTGGTCTTTAATTTAGGGTTTGGCATTGGGTTTAGCAGTGTGGTTAAGGTTAGGTTTAAAATCATTATTACTTTGTGGCTGTGCCAGCTACTGACCGCTCTGCAGAGCTGCCTCTAGAACAAGATTCATGAAAAAAAAACCTGCTAACCTGCTGTTTAACCAGGAGGAAATAGGAAACTATTGAGCCCTTAGAACAGCAGTTTCACTCTGACCAGGAGGGATCTGCGCAAACTGGGCAATGCTGAGCCAACATGTCTGCTTTCCTTCCAGGTTAGATACTGTTAGATATTGTAAGGAGAGAGAAACATACAGCAACATAAGTCTCCCGAGTGGTGCAGTGGTCTAAGGCACTGCATCGCTGTGCCACTAGAGATCCTGGTTCGAATCCAGGCTCTGTCGTAGCTGGCCGCGACCGGGAGACCCATGGGCGGCGCACAATTGGCCCAGCGTTGTCCAGTGTAGGGGAGGGAATGGCCGGCAGGGATGTAGCTCAGTTGGTAGAGCATGGCGTTTGCAAAGCCAGGGTTGTGGGTTCGTTTCCCACGGGGGGCCAGTATAAAAAAAATAATGTATGCACTAACTGTAAGTCGCTCTGGATAAGAGCGTCTGCTAAATGACTAAAATGTAAAAATGTAAATGTAATTCACTGTCACCTCCTCACTGTATCTGAAGGTTATTGTCTGAGTGGGTTTCTAAATGTAAGCAAAGGTTTTTGTTATTGAGAAATGCTATTGGTGAAGTATTGGCTTGAAAGTGAGGAGATTCCTGGTTTAGTTCATTATATTGAGGCAAATCCAGGGAAATGATTCGGTTGTGCAACTGGTGACATTTGACACACACACACACACACACGGTGCATCTGGCATATGAATGGGGTTTGTGTTGTTGTCCTCATGTTGTTGTCCTCCTGAACTCTCCTGTCTGCAGATGAGATCCATGATGGACAGAACCTGGAGCTTTACTACCAGTAGAAGCCTGGAGGGGACACACACACACAGGCACGCACACACACACACACACACATACGGGCACGCACACACACACATACGAGAGACACACTTCTATTTAATAACAAGGCGTGAGTTTGTTGACCATTGGATCATGGTTTGCGAAAAGACATTGTTGAAGTTCTATTGATTTAAATGTTTTGATATTGTTTGGAAATAAAAGCAAATATTTATATTGTCTTAACTCTCTAACTAACCTGATTATCTGTGACCCAACTGGCACCCTATTCCCTATATAGTGTACTACTTTAGACCAGACTCCTATGGACCCTGTTCTGTTGACGTATCAGGATGCCATTTGGGACGGAACCTCTGAGAATATTAGACAATATTAACTGCAATGATATTAAAGGTGGACTTAGCGATGTGACGTAGATGCACAAAGTTTAACAGCATAGTGGGTCGATTTCCGCAAACAACTAAGAGCGTTGAAGCGCGAGGCTCAACTTCTCTGCTGTTTTGGTCCCGTGACTCCCACCTTGTAACCGTGAAGAGACTGTGTGATTGTGTGAGAGAGGAGTCGTGCATCTCGCTCCTCTCAGCTGCTCGTGGCGACGTCAAATCACTGAGTATCTTTAAAGAGCCACTGAACACGCCAATTGGCACGTGTGGTTTTTCTGTTGCACATTAGGAAAAACGAGATTCAGTCTTGGAGGTGTGTTTCCTGACCGATTCCGCGTTTGGTTAATTATGTTTCTCCCCATGAGACACTGAAGCCTAAATCCTCAATGAATCGAAGGTAACTCAAGAAATCAGTAATTTTTGCAGAGGATGTTTTTAGTTGTGCAATTTTACATCGAAGGTGTTTGGTGCAGTATTTCTCAAAACAAAATGGCGTTGTGTTGTCTTATGTAAACAAAGTCGGGCTGCCGGGCAGATCTGTCTATGCTATTGGATAGAGAGCGATCACCGGGCAGGTCTGTCTATGCTATTGGATAGAGAGCGATCACCGGGCAGGTCTGTCTATGCTATTGGATAGAGAGCGATCACCGCAGCTGTTCACCCCATGTTAGTGGGCTAATGGACATCGTCAAATCAAAACCCAGCTTTCATTTATCCATTGTGACACATGGATGTTCCAAACTCCGTTTTAGACGAGACTGACTTTATGACCAAAATGAACCTATTTACACTTTGTAGTCAATTTTGACACTAGAATAACTGTTTCGTTGCTTTTTAAAGGCAGTCGCTCTTTAACTATATACAATGTTAACAGGACAGAGACAGACCATACTGTAAAGCAGAGGTTTTATTCACAGCAGAAACATTGAATCAGTACATTGAGTTATAAACATAGGAGGAAGCCAGGGGTCCCTGTCTTTAGGACCCCCCCCCCTCCCCCTCCCCCTTGACCCTAACCCCTTGATGTTAACATGTCTGAAGGGTCTGTGTAGGTATCCGTGTGTAGTAATGCTCATAGAGATGGAAAGAGGCAGCATCATTGCATCTTTCTTCTTCTTCACGATTGGCTGATCCCTCCTGTTGACCCGGTTGCACATGACTCCCAACAGGGGTCACCAGGAGGGATCAGCCAATGAAGTTGGAAGTCCCGTCCGGTTGACTACATAAAAAATGGTGGAAGCCCTCAGTAGTGCTGCCCATGCTAATATGTCCTTTAGTGCTCTATGGTGGTGGTGAAGCTTCCGCCATATTGCCTCTATCTTGCAGATCTATGCAAACATTTATAGCCTACATGCAGTCTTTTTGATTTTTTTTTTTTTACATCATCACTGTATGTCTAGTAAATCACTGTGTTTATTATATGAAAATAACTCCAAATATATTTTGTATCATCCCCCCCCGAGCCTCCTTTTGCCATTGAAATGCTCAGTCTGATCGTGTCGGCGTGTTGATACAAATTTAAATATGTTTCCATACACAGCCCTGATTGGAGGATATGATAGTCTAGGCTCTAGAGCAGTGATTGGGCAGTTCCAGTCCGCCTGATTGGTATCACACTTTTGCCCCAGCTAAGACACCTGACTCCATTAATGAAATAATCATGATCTTCAGTTCAGAATGCAATTAGATTAATCAGCTGTGTTTTTCTAGGGACGGGGGAAAAAGCGTGACACCACTCAGGCCTGCTCTGAAATTCCAAGCATTGTTTTCAAAAAGCTAAAAGGTCATTATCATAATTTTTCACAATTTCAGAGTGTTATTTCAAAGTAGGAGGATACATATGCAAATAAAAGATAACTGGTCATTGGTCAGAAACATCTGATCAGATTGTGATGTCATGCTTTGGGCCAAAATCTCCATCCCACCTGAACAGGCTGAAATTCCAAGCATTGTTTTCAAAAAGCTAAAAGGTCATTATCATAATTTTTCACAATTTCAGAGTGTTATTTCAACTTCATAGTGTGGAAATATTGTTGAACCCCCCCCCTTCCCAGTAAAATCACATTGCTGACTGCACTGCCCCTTAAAGGGTTAGGGCCAAGGGATGGGGTAGGGATTGAATTGGGACACGCTGTCTCTTTCACACACAGGTGAAGGTGTGACATTGAGGCGACATCAGCAATATTCAGAGTAATCCTCTTCTACATAGTTAGCTGGGAACAGACCAACCTACAGACAGAGAGACAAGAGTTAACTGGGAACAGACCAACCTACAGACAGAGAGACAGGAGTTAACTGGGAACAGACCAACCTACAGACAGAGAGACAGGAGTTAGCTGGGAACAGACCAACCTACAGACAGAGAGACAGGAGTTAGCTGGGAACAGACCAACCTACAGACAGAGAGACAGGAGTTAACTGGGAACAGACCAACCTACAGACAGAGAGACAGGAGTTAGCTGGGAACAGACCAACCTACAGACAGAGACAGGAGTTAGCTGGGAACAGACCAACCTACAGACAGAGAGACAGGAGTTAGCTGGGAACAGACCAACCTACAGACAGAGAGACAAGAGTTAACTGGGAACAGACCAACCTACAGACAGAGAGACAGGAGTTAGCTGGGAACAGACCAACCTACAGACAGAGAGACAGTAGTGAGCTGGGAACAGACCAACCTACAGACAGAGAGACCTTCAACAACTCCTGTGTGATCAAGACTGTGTTCTAGTAAAGTTATGTGGGTTGTACTTCTATATACAGTACCAGTCGAAAGTTTGGACACACCTACTCATTCAAGGGTTTTTCTTTATTTGTACTATTTTCTACATTGTAGAATAATAGTGAAGACATCAAAACTATGAAATAACACATGGAGTCATACAAATCAAAATATATTTTAGATTATTCAAAGTAGCCACCCTTTGCCTTGATGACAGCTTTGCACACTCTTGGCATTCTCTCAACCAGCTTCACCTGGAATGATTTTCCAACAGTCTTGAAGGAGAGTGATGGAGTGCTGCATCAGATGACCTGGCCTCCACAATTACCCAAACTCAACCCAATTGAGATGGTTTGGGATGAGTTGGACCGCAGAGTGAAGGAAAAGCAGCCAACAAGTGCTCAGCATATGTGGGAACTCCTTCCAGACTGTTGGAAAAGCATTCCAGGTGAAGCTGGTTGAGAGAATGCCAAGCGTGTGCAAAGCTGTCATCAAGGCAAAGGGTGGCTACTTTAAAGATAATAAAACATATTTTGATTTGTTTAACACTTTTTTGGTTACTACATAAGTATTATTTCATAGTTTAGATGTCTTCACTATTCTACAATGTGAAAATAGTAAAAATAAAGAAAAACCCTTGAATGAGTTGGTATGTCCAAACTTTTGACTGGTAGTGTACATGTTGACAGGTGTGATGATCATACTGTATATACTGTATGTGAATGTGTTGACAGGTGTCTGTGTGATGATCATACTGTATATACTGTATGTGAATGTGTTGACAGGTGTCTGTGTGATGATCATACTGTATATACTGTATGTGAATGTGTTGATGGTGTGTCTGTGTGAATGTGTTGATGGTGTGTGTTGGTCCTCACCCGTCCATAGACCTCTCCTTTCCACCATCCATTGGGAGCCTTCTTAGACAGGACCTTGACTGTGTCTCCTTCTCTCAGAGACAGCTCTGTACGGTCTCTGGCTGAGAAGTCATACCTGGCCCTTGCTGTGCCGAACGAATGCATACTGCCACCTACAGGGCAGAGAGAGAGGGAGGTGAGCGTGGGTGGGTGTGTTGAAACATACAGTACTTATATTTGAGGTTATGGAAGGAAATAAGTTGAGGTTTGTAGGAAGTCTGGGGTGTGTGTGTGTGTACCTGGAGAGGGTGTGTTGAAAGGTGTATCACTCTGTTCAGGCTGGTTGAAGGGGGTCTGGAGGGTGGAGTGTGGTGTCTGGGGAGGGTGTGTTGAAGGGTGTATCACTCTGTTCAGGCTGGTTGAAGGGGGTCTGGAGGGTGGAGTGTGTGTGTGTGTCTGGGGAGGGTGTGTTGAAGGGTGTATCACTCTGTTCAGGCTGGTTGAAGGGGGTCTGGAGGGTGGAGTGTGTGTGTGTGTCTGGGGAGGGTGTGTTGAAGGGTGTATCACCTGTTCAGGCTGGTTGAAGGGGGTCTGGAGGGTGGAGTGTGTGTGTGTGGTCTGGGGAGGGTGTGTTGAAGGGTGTATCACTCTGTTCAGGCTGGTTGAAGGGGGTCTGGAGGGTGGAGTGTGTGTGTGTGTCTGGGGAGGGTGTGTTGAAGGGTGTATCACTCTGTTCAGGCTGGTTGAAGGGGGTCTGGAGGGTGGAGTGTGTGTGTACCTGGGGAGGGTGTGTTGAAAGGTGTATCACTCTGTTCAGGCTGGTTGAAGGGGGTCTGGAGGGTGGTGTCCACTTCCTTAAAATACTCCTTCAGTGAATGGTGCTGGTAGAACTGAACCAGCTCCTAACGGGGGGAGGGGAGAGAGAGAGATGAGGGTAGACAGAGAGAGATGAGGAGGGTAGACAGAGAGAGAGATATGAGGGTAGACGGAGAGAGAGATGAGGGTAGACGGAGAGAGAGATGAGGGTAGACAGAGAGAGAGAGAGATGAGGAGGGTAGACAGAGAGAGAGAGAGAGATGAGGGTAGACAGAGAGAGAGAGATGAGGAGGGTAGACAGAGAGAGAGATGAGGAGGGTAGATAGAGTGATAAGAGGGAGAGAGAGAGAGAAGGGGAATGACGTACGATTAACCCTTTGAATGCTTTCTTCTCGTTGATGCGGTAGAGGCCTTCTGTTGATGTGATCTTGATGTGTCTGATGTCCATGTTAAACCTGGAGGAGACAGACAGAGTGAATGAGAATCTGTGTGTGTGTGTGAAAGAGAGAGAAAACAGATAACAAGCATCCTATGATTGCCAGCTGTCAGACAGCGCCTTTCTGATTGGCCAGTAAGGAGGCGGGGCTCACTTGAGGCTGATGGCGAACTCTCCTCCGTCTTTCTGGCGGACCAGAAACGTTCCGTCTGACCGTGAAATCAGGAGGTTCTTCGCCGCTGACCGGTCCATGTTCCCCGCAAACCTAGAACCCAAATCACTTAAATGACCAAACCTAGAACCCATTGCAGTTACGTTAGAACAGTACAAAACCTTTCCCATGATTGCTATCAATAACTATTTTGAAACACAGAACACTTCCAAACCTAGAACCCTGCAGTGCTACCACACTCTTAGAAATAAAGGTGCTATCTAGAACCTAAAAGGGTTCTTCGGCTGTCCCCATAGGAGAAACCTTTGAAGAACCCTTTTTGGTTCCAGGTATAACCCTTTTGGTTCCATCTAGAACCCTTTCCACAGATGGTTCTACATGGAATCCACTAGGGTTCTACCTGGAACCTTCAAGGGTTCTACCTGGAACCGAAAAGGGTTTTACCTGGAACCAAAAAAAGATATCCTATGGGGACAGACGGTGAACCCTTTTGAACTCTTTTTTCTAAGAGTGCAGGTGGTACATATCTAGAACATAGGTATGAGTGATACCAGGTGGTACATATCAAGAACATAGTGATGAGTGATACCAGGTGGTACATATATAGAACATAGGTATGAGTGATACCAGGTGTAAATAGAATGGTATCATTACTCACCATAGGAAGTCTGATAGGTCAGGAGTTGGTCTCTGGGGAGAGAGGTCAGAGGTTAGACAGTTTTGAGAACACAACCCCATGCTTCCTTGCAACTGAAGCAGTTAATAAAACACATGTTGGTATTTATATCAATACCAGATACGGTGCAGCCTACACATATAACATAAAATGTGCAATCAACAACATGTATGTATGCTACACACAGTGAAATCTTTACACTGATGATGATCTAACCCATGTGTAACCAAGAGAAAGGCCTGGGATTAGAAGCCCCAAGGCCTATAACCCACGATCGGATTGGATCCCGGACATACTCCTAGATCAGTGTTTAAAGTCAGTGGTACTCACACAGATGAAGGGCTGGACCTTACTGCAGGGGAACCAACCCATCTGACCAATCGTCACATTCTTGCCCTGAGTGACACACACAGCAGACCAATCAGACGACTAGAACATCATTGTGTCTTACTAGTGCTTCGTGTAGCACATTATTGTACAGAAATGATTTACTACAAAGTACGTGTTTATAATGGTAATCAACTCATTAATAAGCTATGAATTACTTCTAGGAATAATAGGCATTGTTAGCAGGTTGTATTAAAGAAAGGAGAGAGGAGGAGAGAGAGAGGAGGAGAGAGAGGAGGAGAGAGGAGGAGAGAGAGAGAGGAGGAGAGAGAGAGGAGAGAGAGGAGAGAGAAGGGAGGAGAGAGAGAGGGAGGAGAGAGAGAGAGGAGAGAGAGCGAGAGGAGGAGAGAGAGAAGGGAGGAGAGGAGGAGAGAGAGAGATGGGAGGAGAGGAGGAGAGAGATGCCAGAACTGGACAAGAACCTGACACTCAGCACACAGGGGGACAAACACCTACCTGGAGGTGACAGCATTCCCTCCACAATATGCCCCCCTAGACACAACTTTAACAAAACAACCAACAAAAACGGTTCACAACTCCTGCAGCTCTGTCGCACGCTGGGTCTGTACATAGTCAACGGTAGGCTTCGAGGGGACTCCTATGGTAGGTACACCTATAGCTCATCTCTTGGCAGTAGTACTGTAGATTACTTTATCACTGACCTCAACCCAGAGTCTGTCAGAGCGTTCACAGTCAGCCCACTGACACACCTATCAGATCACAGCAAAATCACAATATACTCGAACAGAGCAATACTCAATCATGAGGATTCAAAGTCAAAGGAACTGAATAATATTAAGAAATGCTATAGATGGAAGGAAAGTAGTAGTGTGGAAACCTACCAACAAATAACTGGGCAACAACAAATTCAATCCCTTTTAGACAACTTCCTGGACAAAACGTTTCACTTTAATAGTAAAGGTGTAAACTTGGCAGTAGAAAACCTAAACAGTATATTTGACCTTTCAGCTTACCTATCAAATCTAAAAATGTCAAGCAGACAACCTAAGAAAATTAACAACAATGACAAATGGTTTGATGAAGAATGCAAAAACCTAAGAAAGTTTTTGAGAAACCTATCCAACCAAAATCATAGACCCACAAAACCTGAGCCTCACTATGGTGAATCACTGAAACAATACAGAAATACACTACGGAAAAAGAAGGAACAGCATGTCAGAAATCAGCTCAATGTAATTGAAAAATCCATAGAATCTAACCTTTTGAAAATTGCAACACACTAAACAAACAACACAAAGAGTTATCTATCCAAAAACGGAGATGAATGGGTAAACTACTTCTTCTCCAATCTTTTTGGCTCTATAACAAAGAACAAAAAAGCAAAAACATATACTTGATCAAATACAAATCTTAGAATCAGCTATTACAGACTACCAGAACCCACTGGATTCTCCAATTACATTGAATGAACTACAGGACAAAATACAAACCCTCCAAACCAAAAAGGCCTGTGGTGTTGATGGTATCCTCAATGAAATGATCAAATATACAGACCACAAATTCCAATTGGCTTTCCTTAAACTCTTTAACATCATCCTCAGCTCTGAAATATTCCCCAATATTTGGAACCAAGGAGTGATCACCCCAATCCACAAAAAGTGGAGACAAATGTGCATTTGACATTATAAAATGTACATTATTCAATATGTGTTATTTTATAGTTTTGATGTTATAAAATGTACATTATTCAATATGTGTTATTTTATAGTTTTGATGTTATAAAATGTACATTATTCAATATGTGTTATTTTATAGTTTTGATGTTATAAAATGTACATTATTCAATATGTGTTATTTTATAGTTTTGATGTCTTCACTATTATTCTACAATGTAGAAAATAGTACAAATAAAGAAAAACCCTTGAATGAGTAGGCCTCACCCTACTAGAATCTGAAGTCAAATGTCTACTGTTTGCTGATGATCTGGTGCTTCTGTCCCCAACATAGGAGGGCCTACAGCAGCACCTAGATCTTCTGCACAGATTCTGTCAGACCTGGGCCCTGACAGTAAATCTCAGTAAGACAAAAATAATGGTGTTCCAAAAAAAGTCAGTTTGCCATTATCACAAATCTAAATTCCATCTAGACACTGTTGCTCCAGGGCAGCGTTTCCCAAACTCGGTCCTGGGGACCCCAAGGGGTGTACATTTAGTTTTTTGCAATAGCACTACACAGATGATTTAAATAATAAAAGCTTGATTATTAGTTAATTATTTAAATCAGCTGTGTAGTGCTAGGGTAAAAAACAAAATGTACACCCCTTGGGGTCCCCAGGACCGAGTTTGGGAAACGCTGCCCTAGAGCACACAAAAAACTATACCTACCTTGGCATAAACATCAGCACCACAGGTAACGTCCACAAAGCTGTGAACGATCTGAGAGACAAGGTAAGAAGGGCCTTCTATGCCATCAAAAGGAACATGAAATTCGACATCCCAATTAGGATCTGGCTAAAAATACTTGAATCGGTTATAGAACCCATTGCCCTTTATGGTTGTGAGGTCTGGGGTCCGCTCACCAACCAAGAATTCACAAAATGGGACAAACACCAAATTGAGACTCTGCAGACAGTATTCTGCAAAAACATCCTCTGTGTACAATGTAAAACACCAAATAATGCATGACTATGCCCGCTAATTATCAAAATCCAGAAAATAGCTGTTAAATTCTACAACCCACCGAAAGGGAAGCGATTCCCAAACATTCCATAACAAAGACATCACCTACAGAGAGATGAACCTAGAGAAGAGTCCCCTAAGCAAGCTGGTCCTGAGGCTCTTTTTGTTTTCTCATGATTTAGTTGGGTCTAATTGTGTTGCTGTCCTGGGGCTCTGTGGGGTCTGTTTGTGTTTGTGAACCAAAAAACAGAGCAAACTAGAATGCTATTTGGCCCTAAACAGAGAGTACACAGTGGCAGAATACCTGACCACTGTGACTGACCCAAACTTAAGGAAAGCTTTGACTATGTACAGACTCAGTGAGCATAGCCTTGCTATTGAGAAAGGCCGCCGTAGGCAGACCTGGCTCTCAAGAGAAGACAAGCTATGTGCACACTGCCCATAAAATGAGGTGGAAACTGAGCTGCACTTCCTAACCTCCTGCCGAATGTATGACCATATTAGAGACACATATTTCCCTCAGATTATACAGACCCACAAAGAATTCTAAAACAAATCCAATGTTGATACACACCCATATCTATTGGGTGAAATACCACAGTGTGCCATCACAGCAGCAAGATTTGTGACCTGTTGCCACAAGAAAAGGGCCACCAGTGAATAACAAACACCATTGTAAATACCCATGCCAATAAAGCCCCTTAGAGAGAGAGAGAGAGAGAGAGAGAGAGAGATAAAGAGAGAGAGAGAGAGAGAGAGAGAGAGAGAGAGAGAGAGAGAGAGAGAGAGAGAGAGAGAGAGAGAGAGAGAGAGAGAGAGAGAGAGAGAGAGAGAGAGAGAGAGAGAGAGAGAATCTCCACCCTCCCACCACTGTGTGTGTGTCTGTCTGCACGTCTGCGTGCTTCACCTCCCACCACTGTAGGTCGGCCTCGGCTCTTGTCAGTTCGATGACATCACCCATGGAGAGGTGCAGTGGTTGGCCGAACGCTACAGGGGGCGGAGGGACACCATAGTACTCCTGACACACCTCCATTTTAGGAAGACCTGAGAGAGAGAGAGAGAGAGAGAGAGAGAAGGTGATAGAGAAGGTGATAGAGAAGTGAGAGGCAAACAAGTGTTTTAGGTTCAGTTGAAAACGTTCTCATTCTAATCTAATCCCAAATTGATTCAGTTCTATAATCTAGGATCCTCACCTGGACTGGCTTGTCTGTGAGAAGCTGACTTCTTATTCTGTAGGAACAAGACAGATCACAGATCTAAACCCACTAGAAGAGACTCAAAGGTCACAGATATAAAACCCACTAGAAGAGACTCACAGGTCACAGATATACAACCCACTAGAACAGACTCACAGGTCACAGATATACAACCCACTAGAAGAGACTCACAGGTCACAGATATACAACCCACTAGAACAGACTCACAGGTCACAGATATACAACCCACTAGAAGAGACTCACAGGTCACAGATATACAACCCACTAGAAGAGACTCACAGGTCACAGATATACAACCCACTAGAACAGACTCACAGGTCACATATATACAACCCACTAGAACAGACTCACAGGTCACAGATATACAACCCACTAGAACAGACTCACAGGTCACAGATATACAACCCACTAGAAGAGACTCACAGGTCACAGATATACAACCCACTAGAACAGACTCACAGGTCACAGATATACAACCCACTAGAACAGACTCACAGGTCACAGATATACAACCCATTAGAACAGACTCACAGGTCACAGATATACAACCCATTAGAACAGACTCACAGGTCACAGATATACAACCCACTAGAAGAGACTCACAGGTCACAGATATACAACCCACTAGAAGAGACTCACAGGTCACAGATATACAACCCACTAGAACAGACTCACAGGTCACATATATACAACCCACTAGAACAGACTCACAGGTCACAGATATACAACCCACTAGAACAGACTCACAGGTCACAGATATACAACCCACTAGAAGAGACTCACAGGTCACAGATATACAACCCACTAGAACAGACTCACAGGTCACAGATATACAACCCATTAGAACAGACTCACAGGTCACAGATATACAACCCATTAGAACAGACTCACAGGTCACAGATATACAACCCACTAGAAGAGACAACACACTCCAGAAGGGTCTACTACAGAGCAGGATCAATGAGTTAGCGCGCTAACTTTGACAAGCAACCAGAAATAGCTTTAGATTTTCTGGTTCATTAAGTAAGCTAAACTTCAGGGTTTTTGGTTGTTGACTCAATTGTACCATTTCCATTTCAAGCTGGTCACCTGGACGTTGATTAAGGCAGCCCCCCGCTCCTCTCTGATTGGATTGAATGTGTTGGTTTGTGTTGAACTGACTAGCTGTCCCCTTTCCCATCTGTACAATACATCTGTTATTTCACAATATCTAGGCAGGTTAGCTGGCTATTGATGCTCCCCTCAGCTGGACATGGTCCTGCCGTAAAGTGTTCCTGGCTCACGCAGTCCTTACTCAGTACTATAGTGATACGCTGCCAGATAAAGAGCATCTGAAAGGAGCCTTACCTTCTTCACGGTGCCTGAGTGGTCTGAAATACAAACCACAACACAGCTAAGTGTACAGCGTTACACACAACTGCAAAAACATACAATCAAAGAAAACACACACTGTAGCTGGACTACCTGGGTTGCGTCCGCAGCCTGGTACTCTTCCCAGGCATTCTTTATGAGCGGCCATTTTGCAACGACTACAACGATACCCCTGGAAGAATATCCCCCTGAGAAAGAGAGAGAAAGAGAGAGAGAGGAGGGAGAGAGAGAGAATGGGAGAGGAAGGAGAGAGAGGAGAGAGAGAGGAAGGAAGACTATAACTTCCAGTATCTATATCTAAATTTGGAGAGGTATCTTAGCGTGACTCTCTACTCTATACGAGAGATTCATAGATGAGAATTATAGAGCAGAATGAGAGATCATGTTGAGCAAGTCTCAATCTATCTAGCTTTCTATCTATCTGTATGTAGAGTCAAATCATTCTTCATAAAGTTCTCCAGCCTCAACCCTGACCTCTCCAACCTATGCAAGATCAAGTGACTACATGTGAGTGTGTACGTGCCCCCTCGCACTTGTCAAATCAAATCAATCAAATGTCATTTAATTTGTCACATGCTTGGTAAACAACAGGTGTAGACTAACAGTGAAATGCTCACTGACGGGCCCGTCCCAACAATGCAGAGAGAACAAAAGAGAAATAATATAAAAATAAGAACACAAGGAATAAATACACAATGAGTAACGATACCTTGGCTATACACACTGGGTACCAGTACAGAGTTGATGTGCAGGGGTACGAGGTAATTGAGGTAGATATGTACATATAGGTAGGGGTAAAGTGACTAGGCAACAGGATAGATAATAATAAGGTAATTGAGGTAGATATCTACATATAGTAGGGGTAAAGTGACTAGGCAACAGGATAGATAATAATAAGGTAATTGAGGTAGATATCTACATATAGTAGGGGTAAAGTGACTAGGCAACAGGATAGATAAAACAGTAGCAGCAGCGTATGTGGAGAGTCAAAAGAGTTGCAAAAGAGTCAATGCAGATAGTCCAGGTAGCTATTTGTTAACTATTTAACTAACTATATAGCAGTCTTATGGCTCGGGGGTAGAAGCTGTTCAGGGTCCTGTTGATTCCAGACTTGATTCATCGGTAGCCCTTGCCGTGCGGTAGCAGAGAGAACAGTCTATGACTTGGGTGGCTGGAGTCTTTGATCATCTTTAGGGCCTTCCTCTGACACCGTCTGGTATAGAGGTCCTGGATGGCAGGGAGCTCGGCTCCAGTGATGTACTGGGCCGTTCGCACTACCCTCTGTAGTGCCTTGAGGTCGGATGCCAAGCAGTTGCCATACCAGGCGGTGATGCAGCCAGTCAAGATGCTCTTGATGGTGCAGCTGTAGAACTTATTGAGGATCTGAGGAGTGTGTGTGTGTGTGTACCTGAGTAGCATACAGCAGGCCTTGCAGGAGGTGGTATCTTCAAAGCAGTACATCTGGAAGTCATGACTGTTGGCAGTACAGTTCTCTGGACACATGTTGGACCTGCCGATCAATCAAGCAATCAATCAACCAGTCAATCTATCAACCAACCAACCAGTCAATCAATCAACCAACTAACCAACCAGTCAATCCATCAATTAATCAACCAACCAGTCAGTCAATCAATCAATCAACCAATCAAATCAATCAATCAATCAACCAGTCAGTCAGTCTGTCCATCACCATTCCCCCCCCCCCTCC